CCTTCAGGGTGGATATAGCTCGCTAGCAGCCTCGCACCGAGGACCTATCCACGTCATCATTTACCCAGAATGCTTTGTGTGGAAATAAAATGGCTCCGTCCGTGTAATATATTTTTAAATATTTAATTTAAAAATTATAAAAAACTGAACATCCTACAGTATTTTTACAGTCTTTATTTTACAGTTAAAATATATGTTTATCAAATAAAGTCTAATGTTACAACTAATCGGGGATCCCTTTAAAGGGTTCGAGCAACATTGCCCTCCTTATCAGTGCGTGCTTTTTGTTTAAAGCTCTGGAGTGAAGGCGATGGTCCTTCGAAGACTCGTTCTGTCTTTAATTTCAATCAGGGATTGAATCAGCAGTCTTCACTTCTGCAGTTTGTAAATGTAAAGCAGCAGATAAGCACTTGGGGAGGAATTACTGCACCTCCTGCATCTAAACTACCTCCTTCCGTATTCTCAGGCTGCAGCCTGCGCAGACCAACATGGCGGTTGGACCCGGTGGGACCCTGCAGATGGGACAGCTCACGCCATTCTGAGGGCATCACATCCAGACGGTAAAATGTCAGACAGATGTCAGGGGAGACCCAGTTGGCTCAGACGCTGATAGTCCTCAGTGATACACCAGTTAACAACAGCAAAGAAAAGGCCAAACTGCCCCGCGCTCAAGTGCTGTCACACACACAGTGTTGGCAGTGTTGCCATTAGTCAGAGTCTGGTTCAATATTTTATTTGTCTGCTCCTCATCTAAACACTGGAAAGGCCAGCTGGGTGTTTATTAGACAGGAGGGGGGATTTATGTGGAACAACGTTAGAGGTGTTGAATAATTAGGTGCATTTAAAAGTGACAGAAGCTTGTCTTTGGTCAGGGGTGTCACTAGGTTTTAAGGACAAGGGGACTTAGCCCCAGGAGACACACAGAATTTTGCACATATATATATATATATTTATGAAAAACGTATTCAAGGCTAAATAAAATTTTAACATAAATTTTGACATTGATTTAAAAATACCCCCAAACTGAACATTAAAACTATTTTAGATAGATATGTGAATACCGACACTACTTTACTAATTAGTACTTATTTTCTTGAAAAAACTTTCGTATATCCACTTTTCACTGAGCATTCTCCTGGTCTGCTCACTGAGCCTTCATGCTGCATGCTTAGCAGGCTCTGTATGTGAACTTGCTAGCATGCTGCTATGAAGGTTGCAGGAAAAACGTGGACTGGATTTCATGTGGTGGGGGAGTACTCTATAAGAACAAGTGGAATGGAGTGAATAACGAAGTTTGCAGAAGAACGTGGACTGGATTTCATGAGAGGTGGAACGGATTGGATAACGACGCACCAAAGAGGATCTCTACCTCACACTATAAATTAAAGGGAAACTGACAGATTTATGATCATATATTTAAGCTAATAATGAAATATTAAATGGTTATTTATTCTGACCACATCATATTGATTTTTTTTAAATAAATGATTTTTACACCAAAATAATTTAGGTGGGGGGGCTTTAAAATATTTTAGGGGGGCTCCAGCCCCCTAAAATATGCCTAGTGACGCCACTGTCTTTGGTAATCAGTCTGAAACTTAAAAGGAACACTATGACCTTTAAAGGACCAGAGGGAACTGGTGACAAGGATGGGATATTGTTCAACAAAGCAGCAGAGCTGAATGACCAGACCAAGACAACAATAAAAAGATAAGTGCAGTTTTATTTACAGGTGGAGTTTGGTTTTGGACATCAGCTGWAAAGGAGGAGAACGTAGAAGGTGAGTATTGGTTCTTGGAAGAGTAATTTGTTGTAGATTTTCTCTTGTTAATAAGTGATTCTTTCTTACAGATTTTCCAGAGGCGAAGAGTTCCAGAGGAGGAGGTTTTCAAAGGCAGGTGGCAGTTCTTCAGGCAGGTGGCAGTTCTTCAGGCAGGTGGCAGTTCTTCAGGCAGGTGGCAGTTCTTCAGGCAGGTGGCAGTTCTTCAGGCAGAGTGGCTGTGAGGGTTCCGTGGTGAGGTTCTTTGTTTTCTGACCCAACTTGGAGTGAGGACTTCTCAGCATGAGGTGTGGGTTCTGTGATCTTGGTAATCCACCTGTAATAACCTGAGTATTTAAGGAAATACTTGTGTTTATTATTTGTTCAAAGAGTACACTGAAAAAAAATACTTAAGTTTTGTTAAAGTAACTGGTAAACCACGGTAATTATTTTTCTCTTTACAAACCAGAGTTGTTGGGAAAAAAATCTTAACCACTAACACCAGCGAGAGTCATATTTAACCTAGACACTGTTTTTTTATACATTGAAATGTCTTTTTTACCACATTTCTTATCAAAGTGAAATAGAGAGAGCTGACTGCTGAGTAATCACTCCCTCAATATAGCGAGCCAGGTGGTAAAAGGGTTACACACCATAAAGGTAAGATGCATCAGCGTGAATCAACTGAAGGAGGAGGCTTATAAAGCTGCAGCTTATCATTAAACAAATCCCCAACAGGTGTGTGTAATCAGGGTCAGATCACCAATCACCACACAGGAACACAGGTAGAACTGATTCTTCACAGCTGGAACCAGTTTGGCTGAACTTCTCAGACACAAGCAAGCTTCACCTGCTCTCCTGCTGAGAGACAGCAGTCTGCAGCCGACTCCTGCATCACTGACATGTCCACGACAAACATGTTCCAGCTCTAATGACAGGGAAAATAAATCCACCTCAAATGATTTGGTGTTTCTAAAGATCCAAAGTGAAGCTTCTGTGGTCCTGTGGTTTACAGCTGCATCAGGACTCCTGAACATCATCTGATGGTTCACACATTTATAAATTAAATGAAGCTGGCAGCAAGCTGTGATCCTACAATCATCTGAAAACTGACGTGGTTCAGTTTGAGATGACTGCTGACCTGCTGCAGTAAGATCACTGGACAGAGTTCTGACCCAGAGCCGGAGCAGCAGAGAGGGGCTGAGGTGGGCTCAGTTTGAAAACACAAAAATAACCTTTTTTATTAACGGTCTCACATATCACCCTCCAGCTTTCATGTTTTACAGCACAGGTCCACGTCTCCCTCTGAAGCATCCAGCCTGTGAACATCCAGGACCTGATGAGACCAGGTCTGTGGGACCTGAGGAGACCAGGTCTGTGGGACCTGAGGAGACCAGGTCTGCAGGACCTGACAAGACCAGGTCTCCAGGACCTGATGAGACCATGTCTGCGGGACCTGAGGAGTCCAGGTCTGCAGGACCTGAGGAGACCAGGTCTGCTTCTCTTAGACATGATTGCGGTTTTTCTGAAATAGAAAGGAAAAGACAGACAAAAAAATAATTTAAAATCAATTCGCAACCTGTGAAGTAAAAATAAATTATAACTCTAAATAAAAACAAAAGTACTGACCTGTTAATTTAGTTTGTGCAAAAAAAAAAAAAAAAAACTCCGCTTCTGCTGCTGATGCTGCGCAAGGCTGCTGGAACACAACGGCAGGGCTTCTTTTCGCTGATGACACACAGACAGAGTACATTTAAAAATATATATATAAATACATTAAACAGAATAAAACATAATAAAACACATTTACGAACCTTTAAATTTACTTTACGTTTGGTGCTGGTGTTGGGTAACGCTGCTGCAGGAACACTGCGACGGGTCTTCTCGCTGATGACAGACAACACAGAGTACATGTAAAAACTAAATAAATACATTAAACAGAATAAAACACAATAAAAATTTACGAACCTTTAAAATTTACTTCTGTTGCTGTAGCTGTCGTGCAGGGGGTTCTTCTTATCGCCGATGCAAGTACTGACGGGTCTGGAACACAGCAGGTGTCTTCTCATCGATGGAAGTACTGACTGAATGAGACGCGTTCTTTTAAGCGCATCACGAACCGAGGAGGGGCAGGATCTAATGCTTTAAACACGAGCTGATTGGCTGAGGGGTGGGTCTAAAGCCTAACCCTAACCGCTGATTGGACGATGGAACAGTTTGATGAAAACTTTCTCGACCTGACAGTTTTCAGGGAGGCAGGAAGTCACGAACAGGAAAGAGGGAGGGTGAACAGACAGGCGGGCTGTGGACATCTGTTCAAAATCAGGATGTTTACGGTCAAGGCTTACAGTACATCGAGGGGGAAAGAGGGAGGGGACGATTACGGTAAATCGAGGGGGAAAAAGGGAGGGGTAACGTTACTGTAAGTCAAGGGGGAAAGAGGGAGGGGGACAGTTACGGTAAATCGAAAGAGGAAGTCATGAAACGGAAGTTGACCATACATGGAAGTCCCCCGAGGAAGGAGGGGCCGGAAGGACATATATGGAAATCCCCCGAGGAAGGAGGGGCCGGAAGTTGACCATATACGGGCGGGACACCTGTCACTTTTCGTGTGACGTCATTTGACGAATGCTGAAGTATATTATCTCTATTTTGTCAATTCTTTTAGCCAAAATTGAGATAATCACTGATGACAATAATAAAAACATGTCTAATCATTGCAAAGACCTTGTTTTATTATTTTTACCTTATAAAAAGCTGTTTATATCTCCATGGTCGTGGATCGCCACTACAGGCAGCCTCCATCTTGCACCGCCATCTTGTCCACGAAGGCTCATGAAGGACAAACTGCCGTGGCGGCGTCAAAAACAGTTTTAGTTGTAATACTATACATGTAATATGTGTTGTCTGTCATTGTAGCTGGGATAATTTTACTTATTAAAGCTCATAATCTTACCACTTGAAACATCACTAGCCCTGAAGCTGCTGGTAGACATCGCGGTTGGAATTATCAAAGGTTTTTGACACCTGAGAGACACCGTAGAAACTCCTTTGTGTTTGGAAGCGGTGGGTGGGGGTGGGGGGAGGACCAGGGAGGATGATTCAACCGCTCAACCACTAGATGTCGCTGAAAACAACAAATCCTACACACTGTGCCATTAAGAAGTATTTGCATTTCATGTAATATATTTTTGAATTTGGCCCTCGGCCCTCAGATTGATTTTAATTTTGGCCCTCTAGCGGAAATGTTTGAGCATCCCTGATTTAGACAAAGAAAGTTTAGCTCCAACCATGTTTTAACATCCTTTCAGCAGATGCTCCAAACACTGAGCTCCACCATATCGTAAAGGTAAATAAATCTGGACATATTTTTTGAAAATGGAACCCACTGGAAGTAAATAAATAGAAAACCAAATGGGGCCCAGTTTGGAGCCTTGATGTACCCTACATTTAAGAGGGGTGACTGTGGAAGAAATCTCTAACATTAGATAGATTATATAAACTGTAAAATATTAATAATTTAGTTAAATTATTATTAATAGTTTTAATGATTTCTACATAGTCAGTCCTTTTTTGTTGGCTATAATGCCAACATGTACAGTAATGGTAAATCCTGCCTGTTATGCTTAGCCACTTAGCTTCTACAGTAGATCACGTGGTTTCCGTGCACTCCGGCTGTTCTATATACCTCCATGTTCACAATGCATTCCTCTTTCCCAATTATGGCAAGCTCCAAAAAGTGTAGACACTGTTCAGCAAGGGTCTGGTGTGCTGTGCATGTGTGTGTCTATGCTGGAGAATTCTCAGGGCCAAAATAAAGTTATTCTTCAGGGCAGAATGAGATTTCTAAAAGTGTTATTACAGAAAGATGAGGTGACAGATCACAGGAAGAAAGGAGCTTACCCTTGCAAGATATTTAATATTTTTATTTTATCACAAAACAAACCAGAATCTTCTCAAGGTCTGGGTCTCTTGAAGTCCTTCAGGGTTTTCTTTTCATTTTAAATGAAATCTTCAGTCTTTCTAAGGTTTGTAATGCTGTAACTGCTCATAGAAGCCGGGGTTTGGTCGAATCGATGGTCTTGCCTGCTTCACCTGACTGTACGCATCATCAAATGTAAGCCCCTCCCTCAACATCAGGTATCCAATCACAACGGAGGATGAGCGTGACACACCAGCGTTACAGTGGACCAACACCACACCGTCCTACAGGAAGAAAAACAGAAGGCAAGCAAAATGTTGATACATCTACATTAGTTAGACTTTAGTTATTTTAAGGCATTAAGGCTTCATTTTCCTCCTTAACTGCAATTTGACTAAGAATAAATGAACTTCCTGACAGATTTCACTGTTCTGCAGTTTTAATGGTGCTGCTCTTCAGGAATAGTTGTATATGACTGACTTTCAGCCATCTCTGTGTCTGCTAATGTTGACTGGCTCTGGCAGCTATCTTGACCTGGGTTGACTTTAAAAAAGTATCTGTTGAAGCTGTACCAGTAAAGATGAGTTCTTGAGATCATTATTAAAACTTGTCCAGTGGTTCATGAGATATTTTGCTGACAGAGAGATTAACATATACAAAGGTGACACCAAGGCTGCAAACAAAAGAAAACTGTGCCCATTTTTATGTGTAGGTTATAATTAACAGAAATTAAAAAAATCTAGCTGAGCTACTGACAGCTCAAATTAAATAATTTGTATTTTTCACCTTATTTAAAGAACAACCTTGTTCTCATTGTCTTTCATGAAAAACTTAACCATACAGCGGGTAAATTAAGTAATGAACACATCACCATTTTTCTCAGTAAATATATTACTAGAGGTGCTAATTAGACATGAAATTTTCACCAGATGTTGGTAACAACCCAAGTGATCCATACATACAAAGAAATCAAACCATAAATGTCCAGAAATGAAGTTATTTGTAAT